CAGCAACGGTGCGCCGAGGCCCGCAGGACAGCGACCCGGTACTACATGCGACTCGTCATAGAAGCATGCTAATCTTCGGCTTCATCGCTTAAAGGCGTTACCTGGGCACTGCATGCACTTGTCAGAAGATCTGTGCATGCTTGCACGACGGCGATGAGCAAACTTTTCAACGTCTCTGGCTGTGGCCGCGGGACCACACTGCATGTTTCAATATTCAACATGCGCTTCTGCACCAAGCACCGTGAGCAGCAACGGGTCCAGTCTGTTGCAACCAGTCTTTTCGCACGGCATCACTGACTTGCGTTCCACGGACAATGAGGCCCGCCGCAATAACAACATACCCCGCCTGACGGTCCAAGCTCTCGCTTTGAAATTTCCAAGGTTCGACCTCTGCTTCAACTGCGAGATCATCCCGATATTTGCTTCTCAGCGCGTCTTGGGTCTTGTAAGGCCCCTGGGGCGTTCGCGTAAGACGCGCACCGCGTACGCGCAGACTTATGGTTCGCAGTCCACCATCATGTACCATGAAACCCTTTCAAAAGACTAGGCCTGAAGCTCGTCTCGGTCTAATCCAATACCTGGGCATATGCGGGATTCAACATCCTTCGCCAGCCCCTGGAGATCCTCATGTTGCTATTATTGCGCAACGGACATTTCGAATTTCAATCAAAACCATCTTATCAAAGCTTTGCCAATCCCTCAACCGAAAAAGAACCCAACACCGTTGCGGCGCAACAATGACATTTGGCAGCCCCCCCTCCGCCGGAGTGCGAAGGGATGCATTTTCCCGATCAGCGTTAACTCGCCAACGCTTCTGCAAACAGTTTCTTCATGACGTGAGTATTGAAACATTGAGTTCGGTCCGCACGTGGACCAGCAAAGCTAGTCTTGACTCGCGCGGTATTGCCGGAGCATTCTCCAACAAGTGGCTTGTCAGAAGACGAGGCGGATTTAGACCACCGGAACAATAGGTCAGTCAACGGTCGGTCAGCGAATTAGACGCAACACCTCGCCTCGAGCACAGGACTGTAATCACTTCGCCTTTTCGTAAGGTCACATCATGATAACTTGGCGAATTCTAATTGCAGTATTGTGGACTTTAAAATGTTTGCAAGTACACAGCCTGCGCAAGCACTATAATGCGTCCATGGGCATGAAGTAGTGAATATTCTGTCGATTGCAGCACCTAGCATCGAAATATATCCTCGCGGTACGTTCTGGAGCTCCGTCAAAGACACATGTTAAGCAACTCACGACGTATACATGCATAGTGCTTCCCGAGTAGGCGGGTCCAACTGTGAATGACGACCTTCCTCATACTAGCATATGCAAGAAACCTGTCTCTCAGAGGACCGCCTGGTACTCTAGAGAACTGTTCGCTCCAAGTTTGTAGAGGTGAATTCGAGTAGTTGTACGTATGTCCACCTTGTCATTAAGAAGCAGTGCACTTCACACCTCTAAGCCCCTTTGGACGCAGAGGCGGAATTTGTTGCCCAACATGACTCTCTCCTGGGTTAAGAGATCCGACCGTGTTCGCTTGTATGTATGTTTACTGCTCGGTGACCCTCATCGTGCTTTATAACTGGACGGACCGGTTCTGGCGTCTGCGAAGGGGTGGATCGAAGCGAGGGACACGAGAGCGCAGGACGTGGAGAATGGGCAGTATCGGACGGTTTAAAATATATCATCTGGGTGTTTGTGAGTATCCAAACAGATAGCTGCCTTTGGTGAGAGACATTGCCAACGTGCAGATGCCATTTCTGTCTGAAGCATTGCAAGACGGTGCGGAGGTGATGCGGAGGTCGTCTTGAGATCGGAGAAACATTCCCCGAGCTCCGACGGACCCACCGAAAAGTCAAAGTCGGCTCGCCAAGAGTTCGAGAGAAGTTCGCGACTGAGCTCTTCCGCAGCAATGAGTGTCGTATTGTAATGCTAGCGCTCGCCTCGTAGACGTTCGCACAGCTCCGCATATCCTACCGCTAGATAAATATCCCACTATCGACCATGGATATCCACCGATCCCGCTTCGTGCCTTACCCGCCGTCTGCGATCAACGCGCTCGCCTTCTCGCACCCGGAACCCGAACATGGACAGCAGGATCCTGAGTCTCTGAGGCTGGCGATTGGACGCGCAAATGGAAACATTGAGATATGGAACCCCGCAAGAGGCTCGTGGCTTCAAGAGAAGGTCTTCTATGGCGGCAAGGATCGGAGCGTCGAAGGGCTGGCTTGGACCCAAGAGCCAAATTCACGCGATGCGCATGGCAAGGTGGTGCCCGGACGTCTGCGACTGTTCAGCATCGGATACTCAAGCAGTGTCACAGAATGGGATCTCACCACGGGTCTTCCGGCGCGACACTCGGACGGTAACCATAGCGAAGTCTGGTGCTTTGCTGCACAGCCCAGGAAGAACGCGAGCGGTGCGTGCCAGAAGCTTGTTGCAGGTTGCGCCGACGGTACTATCGTCCTTCTGTCTACCGACGATAACGATCTCACTTTCGAGCGCTTCGTCTCCCGCGCCACAAACAAGAAGGCGCGTGCTCTCAGCATCGCATACAAGGATCAGCACACGGTTCTGGCAGGTTTTGCCGACAGCATGATTCGAGTCTTCGATACGAGGAACGGAAATGTGATTCGAAACATTTCTTTGGGAAGCGGTCCTCACGGTGGACCTAAGGAAATCCTGGTATGGAAGGTCAAGTGCCTTTCCAACGGCGATTTCGTGTCAGGAGACTCTACTGGCGACATCCGCATCTATAGCGGCAAGAACTACAGTCAGACCCAGAGGATATCTGGGCACGAAGCCGATGTGCTCGATCTCGCTGTGACCCGCGACGGAACCAGCATCTTCAGTGCAGGCATGGATCGCCGTACCTGTTTCTATACGAGCAAGAAGGGACAATCCCAAGGACAGAGCGGAAAATGGCGAAAGGTGTCGCACCAGAGGTACCACGAACACGACGTTAAAGCCATGACAACATATGAGGGCAACAACCTTAGCGTGGTGGTCACAGGAGGTACGTACATATGCGCATCTTCACAGCTCATGTCTAACATGTAAACGTTTAGGTATTGATACCCAGCCCATCGTTGTCCCCATCCGCACATTCGGCAAGGAGCTTAGCCGTGGTCTCCCTGCTTTGCCTCCTACTCCGCCCCTAACAAGCGCCCCAGAGGCCAGGTTGTTGGTGAGCTGGTGGGGCACAGAAGTACGGATATGGCGTGTTAAGCCTCAGGATGACGGTACGGAGAAGCCCAAGGTCGTTGCACGCCTTGCTCTTCAGGGAGAGGAGAACATCATATCGGTGTCCATCTCCAGAGATGGTGGTCTTCTTGCCGTTGCGACAGCCAGCACAGTAAAGTTGTTTCATCTATTACATCTGGCTGGAGCTGGACAAGCTTTGCGTGTGCGCAGACTCGAGATGCCTTCCATTCCTGGCGCGAAGACTCTCAAGTTGGCCTCGAATGGTAAATGGCTAGCAGCTATCACGGCGACCGACGAGATTCAGCTGGTCAGAGTGGTACGGACAGATGACCCGGCAGACCCGCCTCGCGCACTGGAGAAAGTACAGCCCCTCTTCCGAGTCGATCGCGACGTCACTACACAGAACCCTCTTAGCGGACCCTCGGGAGCTTACGAGCGATCAATCGCACATGCCGACTTCTCCGCGGATGGTAACGTCTTCGCTGTGGTCGATCTGGCAGGCTACATTGATACGTGGGTCGTTGAAGGGCATGAGGACACAGCTGCACCTGAAATTGACATTGACGATGCTACACCTGCTGCCAATGATGACGATGGATCTGACGACGACGAAGAACAAACGAGCGAACAGATAACATACCTAGGTCAGCACTGGATACGAAATCCAAGTGGTCATCTACTTCCCCAATTGGATTCGACGCCCGTTCTGCTCTCTTTCCAGCCCAGCTTAGACGCCTCAAACCAGCCGGAGCCCAATGGCAACCCTGCTGTACACCCCACAAGAAACAACCCTCACCCCCACTCGCACGAGCTACCTACTACGGACTACCGATTACTGTTGGTCTCTGCGGAACACCAGCTCTACCTCTTCGATGTCATGTCCAGTCGCCTGTCAGAATGGTCAAGACGGAACCCAACATCCAGCTATCCCCACGAATACAAACAGCTCGACCTTCCTGCGAAGGGTTGCATCTGGGACGTCACGGAATCTCAACAACGGGTGTGGCTCTATGGCGAGAAGTGGCTGTTCATGTTCGACCTCACGAAAGATTTCTCAATTTCAGACGCCGAACACGCTGGAAAGAAGCGGAAGCGCGATGCCCTCAAGAACAACAGCGGTGCTGGTGATGCAGTACCTCAAAAGGAGGCACCAGTCACCAAGATGCGCAAGTTCCAAAACGATGCCGCCGACAACGCTGCGAAGCAAAAATGGGTTGACGTCCACGCTGTCAGTCGCAAGACTGATGCTGAAGACGATGATGACATGGAAGACACCATTCAGCCTCTCGCCACTCTACGTAGGGCTAACACGCAAGATGGTGAGCAGACAAACGGAGAGACGGAAGAAGACCAAGTTAACGGAGGTGGAGAAGTCGGACAAGTGGAGCAAAGCAAAAAGAACGAGCCATGGTGGCACACATTCAAGTACCGTCCTATATTGGGCATTGTGCCCATTAGCGCCGATGACAGTTTCTCTGCACCTGAGGTGGTGCTTGTGGAAAGGCCCAGCTGGGACTTGGATCTGCCGCCGAGGTTTGTGGGTACACATGAGCAGTGAGGGAAGCATATATTTGGATAGCGATGTACGAAAGGTTGCTAGCAGTAGAGAGATACCTAATCTTATGCGTTGTATTGTCAACATGTCTTACCGGTGTATGAGCACGATCGCACCATGTTAGAAGTGAGCTCTGTACACCAGTCGTTCAATACTTTGCTTCCTTGGGTCGATGAAACAGTCTGATAAATCATGCATTACGGAAATGAAATACATTCATAAGTATTGTGGTCTACATGCTCTAATACCTCTTTGCACTGTCCTCCTCCCAACCACTCGTTTCATACCTTCCATACCCTCTCCCTTCAGTCTCCGCACTCCCTCTCCCCGGATCCATGACCCTATCCCTCAGACTTTCCCTCACAGACTCTTGGCTCACAAGTCTACCCTCACTACCTGCCGAATCCCTCGTTCTCCTCTCTCCATTTCGTCCTCTTGGCAGATCCGTGTCGACACCAAAATCTCTCTCCATGACCATCTCCTCTTTATCCAACATCTCTGTTACTCCTCTCCCGTTCCCGTGCACGATGATGCGTGTTTTGTTCAAAGAATGTTGGACGGGTTTCTTTGCGTTGAAGATGTCGCTGATCTCCTCGAGGGTGCGGCGCCGAGTTTCGACGAAGAAGAAGTAAATAATAACGAATTCGAACATGTCCCAGAATATGAATAAGAAGTAGTACTAGTAAAGCACTTTGAGTCAGCCGGTGTTGACTTAAATAAACGGGCAATGACAAGAAAAGTAAACAACATACCTTCCACCCGGCCTTCGAAAACGCGATGCCTGTAACGAAAGTATTGTAAAAATTGGCAATGTTGACCCAGAAGTTGTAGAACGCCATTCCCTTTGCTCTACTCTCGTACCGCAGACACTCCACGGGATATAACTGCTGCAGCGGCGTGTACCCCGTCGAGTAAATGAATCCGCAGATGAAGACAAACGCAATCACCGCTCTCGCCTGTCCAGGTCGTTTGATCAAAGGCGTGCCGGTCTCTACATCGTATATGTATTTCCCATCCGGTCCCGTTTGAAGATTCGTAGCAACGAGTGCGCAGACAATGGTAAACACGCCAACGAGCAGCGCGGTCGAGACAAGGAGCTGAGGGCGTCGGCCCCAGGAATCTGTATAGACAGCACCGAATATTGCGCCGGCAAAGGAAACAACGTTTTGCATGCCGTTGTATAGGAGCCGAGTGTGATTGTTGTTGATACCAGCGCCTTGGAGCATGGTAGGGTAGTAGTAAGACACAGGCCCGTTTCCAGACCATTGACCAAAGAACGCCATGCAAACGACAAGACTGGTTCTGTAGCGGGCTTCGCGTGAGTTGAAGAGCTCGCGGTAGTCCCACCAGCGTTTATCGGAGCCTGTGACGCTAATGTCTTCGACCATCTCCTTGTATTCCAGTTTGACGATGGGTGAGTCGCGATTCCCTTCACCATGGAAGCGCGCCATGGTGTCGAGCGCTTCTTCATGTCTGTCGTTGGCGATGAGCCATCGAGGAGTTTCTGGCAAGAACGGCGAGCAGACAAAGACTGTGCCGGCGAAGATCATCTGGAGCCATAGCGGGATACGCCAGGACGACGTGCCGGGAATATTGCTGGTCCCGTATGGGACGAACGAGCCTGGGATACCGCCGACGTACCAGAAGGTGTTGAAGATACCTGTGCAGACGCCGCGGTACGATGGATGTGCCATCTCAGATACGTAGGCAGGACCGGCAGTCGACGTGATGGCGACGCCGAAACCGAGGACGAAGCGACCACCCATGAAACCACCAAGGTTGACACATGTTGCTTGAATGCAGGCACCCAGAATGATGATCGAAGTACCAATGCACATTCCCCATTTTCTTCCCCTGAAATCTGTAGCCGGACCAGCGACGAATGATCCGACAAGGTTTCCGATGGTGTATATGGCGTAGACAATTCCAGTAGTGGGGGTTCCTTCGTGGGTGTCGAAGCCGAAATACGCTCGGTATTGAGGGTAACTGTTGATGGCTCCCATGAGCGATCCATCGTATCCATTGATGCAAGAGTTTAGTGTGGCGATGAAGAGGCAGAGATACAGCTGTTGCATCGTCAATAACATTCTTACAGAACGCGTATCACCATACCTTGAACATAGCCTTTGTCCATGGCCTAACATTAGCCTTGGCCGTTGCATCGGCAAAAGCAACATTCTGCACTTGGCGAATCTGTGTCGAGCTACTACGCTCCGTATGCGAAGTATATATATCCCTCTTGTGGCGGTGATCCATATTGCTGACCAACTTGCGCGACCCTCACAAACAATACGATTGTCGAAGTTCGCAACGTCAATCAAATGAGTTGAATAATGAAGTTGTCGTCGTCGTCCTCAATCCCGAGGTAACGGATAGCATGACCTACACATTAGTACCGTATAAGCAGGACCGCGGAGCTGCGAGCGGAGAGGCAAGGCACAGTAATATATTCAATCGCCCATCCACGCGACCAAAGGATCCAGATCGTCTCGCCAGTAAGAGGGCGTGGGCTATACGTACCCATTCTTAAAGTGCAGACCCGCATGGATGTGGCACAGTGCAAGGACGTCCCGCAGGCGCATGATGACCGGGTATTTGCAGACCTGCGGCTTCGCTTAAGTCTGGAGCAAGAAACGATTGGATGCCCAGGGTGATAGGTAAGATGAGAGGCTTGGAGAATTATGGTGGCCATTTCACCCGCTGTCAGAGAACAAGTAGCTTATCGTATGTCCCATAGTGCTCCACCATCTGACTGTGTACATGGCTGGCGTGGTGTTGGGGGAGGCATGCATTTGGCGTGTTGGTGGAAAGGTACTTTGTACCGAATGGATATATTTCCTTACTCAGTAGAGACCGAAACTGAGACGGTCGGAAGCGTGGCAACCACTAGGCCGCCTGTCGCTCGTTCTCATTCGTACCATGCCGCAATCCTTCGCTTCGTAATGCTTGCCTGACCTTTCGACACAGGCGGCGATCAGTGCATCATCATGAACCCTTGCGCGCTGCAGTGTGAGAACGAGAAGCGAGTAAGGTACTCTGAATTCTGCGGTACAAGTTTCCCGTTGTTGCTTTCGCTGTCGCCAATCTTGATGTTTGCGAAAGATGAAGTCTAGAAGACAGCCCTTGTCGCACCTCTCCACCCGCAAACCAAGCTAGCGGACCGAAGAATCCGGGGAACGCAGGGGAGGTGCGACCCGCACACCATCCAGAACAGCGTCGTACCAACGCCCACTCCCTCTACGAAGAAACGCTGTTAACAATAAATCACATTCACAATCATCAAGCTCTTGGCCAGTAGATTCTTCCGGAATGTCTACTTCTGGTCTACTGTCGTAATTCTGCGTTTCAGCTCCACTCGCCACTGCCACTGCAGGCCCATCAATCTATTCATATTGCCGTCCCACCTTCCACTGCCGGCATATGTTCCAGCGGTTTCTGAGAGGACCGTGGATCTTCATGGTCGTCTGATCCTTCGTATATTGTTCCATGCAAGATCCTAGAAGATTAACACCAACATCATCACGTCACCAACTCAAGCAAGCCAGAAGATCATTCAGTATCAAAGTGATGAACCCTCTTCTCTGGCTATTATACATGCATCCTAGTCTAAAATAGCTTACGGGGAAAGGTGGCTCTACAAGCCTCCCTATAACCTATGGTGAATGCAAAAACCCTCCTCCATTGTGTCCCATCTCCAACCCCCAATAGGCTGGGCTGATAGTATAGACCGCTCACTACCGTGGCCGCCGGCGTCGTCTATTCGTCGTCGTCCGGGTTCGTGTCCGATTCGTAGACAAACTCACCCGGCGTCGACGCTTCGGCCTCACCCTCATCCACCATATTGTCGCTGACCGGCGCTGCAGCAGTTGTTACTGATACGCCTTCTGGACCTTGATCTCCTGAGGAACCCGACGCGCCAGGGGCAGGGGCAGGCACGGCCTTCTTTACCTTGAGCTCCAAGAGCGTCTTTGGTTCTGAAGGCTTGGTGTCTGTGAGAAGAATGACACCGAGAGTTGGCTGAGAGTGTGTTAGCTTAGTCATCTTCCATGTGGTATGTGGGCTACTAACCTTCTTCACTGGTACATATCGTTCGCTCGGGAAGCTGATGTACTTCACTTGTGGCGGCAGTACACGCGACATGTTCTCCAGTTCATAGCCAACCTTCTCCTTCTCCTTCTTCTTCGATGGCTCCACGGATTGGGTACCATCGGCCTTCTCACCATCTTCCTTCTTAGGATCCTCGTCGACGTCCATCTTATCGTCGTCTGCAGGCTTAGGTGTGGTAGGAGTATGATCCACGTCCATGCTTTCCCTCCGCTTTTGGCGCTCCTTTACCATTCGTCGTCGCTTATCTTGAGCGGTTGTCGACAAAACGGCAGTCTTGATCTTCTCGGGCGCCTCTTCAGCCTTGACCTCTGCATCTGGTGGGTAATCGAACGTGCTTGGCCTCGTGTTGCTGTGGAACTTGAACGACGGAATCTCCAGCTCCTGGTCTAGACCAATGACTGCAGTAGATGTGAAGCTCAATGACAAGAAGTGAGTCAAAGGGAACCAGTACCAGTACTGCGTGAAGACAGCCATGCCGACAATAGCGGCCATGTTCAAGTTACCAGTCGGCGTCTGCAGGCCGATTGTGCAATTCCGGCCTCCAGCGTCAATGATACCGATAGCTAGAGCAGCACCCAACTTGGCCAAAGCATCCTCATGGCGGTCGCTGACAACCTTGGCAAGCTGCTTTCGGATAGACGCTACCTTGGGATTCATCGCCTCGTTTTGCTGCACCATGATCATGGCTAACGCAATCAAAGCGCCTTGTCGGACGAAGTCGGTTGAGTCCTTCATCATGGGCTCCAACAGATCTACAGCCTCGGGAAGGCCAGTTCCGGCACATGCAATACCAAGAGCCATGGTGGCTCCGTAGCGCACATGTGGGTTGTACGACTCTGCGAGAAGCTCGACCATGCGGGGTACACTGCCTGGCTTCCTGAAGAGGATGAAGCCCAAGCTCATGACTGCAACTCTTCGTACGTCGTCGCTTACATCACTGACCGCAACGTGGAGTAACCTGCGGACGGCCTTGTTGCTACCTGTACCACAGTACGCCAAAGCGATGGTCATGATACCTCCGTAGCGCAGAGTTGGGTCTGGGTCGTCAAGGAGCCCGTTAATGAGCTCATCGGCAGCCTCTTGTCGACCGTACATGATAAGTGCCATACCCATGGCAAGACCACGAACAATCTTCTCGTGTTGGGTGTCGTGCGCATACTGGATCATGTCTTCGAGTGCCTTGATGTTACCAGTGCCGAGCATGACGAGACCCATTGAGAGACCGACAGCCTCACCGTTGATGGCAGAGTCTGTGTATAGAACGTTCTTGAACGCCTCGAAGATCTCCTCGGAGCCAGTGGCCATACCGGCGACACCAAGACCGAGCGCACCGCCATGCTGAATGACCTCCTCAGATGCATTCTGGAACTGCTTGAGTAGCAGATCAAGAACATTGCTTCCGTGATTGGCGTAGATCAAACCAAGAGCGTACAGTGATCCACCCTGCTCATAATGAGAGCCTGACGAAACGCTGTCCTTGGGAAGATAAGGCTCAAGAAGCTTCTGGCCTTGTGTGATGTTGCCACGGTGGATGACACCCAGAGCAGCGGTTGCGGAGAACTTGGACCAGTTCACTGCCTTTCCTAACCATTCCAGGTTCTCGCGGAAGAATGTGTCATTAGTAGTGCCAGCATTCATGAAGGCGTTCGCAAATGTGACACTGGAATGGAATATGGAGTTCCTGGCCTCCAAGCTGTCACGGACCTTGTTCAGCACGGCTTTGTCTGTGCGGTTGTTTCTGTAAAGGAATTCGAGGTTCAGCTCAATGCTCTTGGTTCCGCGAAGGATGTAGCGAACATTGTTGAAGACCTTGATCTGATCTTCACTCGCCTGGTCGCCCTTTGAGTTGCTAGTGTCCACGTCTGCAAGCAGAGAGTCTGATTCGCCTGCTTCCGTAGGTTTCTGCTCCTCCTTCTCGGCTTCTGGCAGCTCCTCCATGACCTTTGTGAGGAACTCTTGTGTGCCATTCTCGTACAGGTCGAACGAGATCTGGTATGCGACTGCGCGAGACTTGTCGTCGCCGCGCTCGATCAGCTGTCGGATGAGCTTTGAAGCGAGTGAGTGCTGGTTGAGGTACACTACACATTTGGCAATGGAGAAGTAATCGGGATTCGGGATTTGGTGATCGTTGAGGAGATCCAAGATCAGGCGGAGAATCTCGTTCCTCAGGCCTCGCTCTTGCACCACATTCATGCAGATGTCCAGGACGTATTCCATCAAATCCTCGCTCTGTGCAGAAGGCTGTGCAGGCTTCTTGCCCTGCTTCTTCCCATCTTGGCTCGCGCGGATGATTGACTCCTTCAAAACTTCGAGATTCCGTGCCTCAATGGCGATTCCTACGACCTGTTTGTAGTTGCCGCTTTGGTAGCAGCTCTCGAATATTCGTCGCACAGTGTCGTGGAGGTTCTTCTGGACATTTCGCTGTAACACCATCGGGGTGGGATGTGCTCCAGGTACACCAGCATTACCTCCTCCTGGGAGAGTAGGATCGAATGTCGACGAATCTTCCCTAGAGAGAAGTGACTTGGAGGGTAACGCGGACTGTGAGAAGGGCGTTATCGGAGAGGCCAGACTGGCTGAAGTGCTGGCACCTCCTGCTGCACTCCCAGAGAACGATGTGCTAAGTTGCGGCGGGGCCTGGTTCGCCTTGCTGACCGGTGTAGGTGGGTTGTGCATGACGGACAGCGCGATGTAGGTATCTAAGCACTTTGCTGGAAAAAGCAAGTTAGCCGATTGTGCTCCAAGTATGATGAATCCACTGCTTCAGCTTAAGATGGAAGTAGTCGTGAGCTGATTGGAAGGCTCAGGTGTCCGTGTTGTCTTACCCAGTATTGTCTCCTCGAACTCGGCGGCCTTGTGGATATCGAAGAGCTTGCCGGCACCCAGTGCGAAGACCATGCTCTCATTGTACTCTTGCAGCTGGTAGTACACCTTTGCGGCTACTAAAGCAGCAAGCTCTCGCTCGGGAAACGATTCGTCTTCGTAGAGAGCCTCACTATGACGCACCCATGTTAGCAGCTGCTCCGATGGTGATGGGCTGACGAGAGCGCGTAGAAGCTCCGCTAGGTTTCTTACATCTGACTGACAGAGCCCGCGACCTCTGGCCACAGAAGGTCGATCTCCTCGTTCAGCCGCTGGAGGGCGAATGA